CTGAAAGAACAGGCCCAATCCATCCTGAAGGGCCTAGACTGCAGACCTTTGGGATAAATAACTCACACCCCGAGGCCAGCATGCTACCTGAAAGAGTTTGCTCCCCTGGGATATGGAATAGATTGCGTGATTGCTACTCACACAGGCAAGTGATGACATACTCCGCCCCATGAAAGCGGGAAGTAGCTATGGAAGGAGGGACCTTCATCCTGGATCACATAACCAATTATGTGTATGAATGCTCCTAGGGGAGGGGTGTCAGTTGGGTTCGGGGAGTGGTAGGGCATGGGAGCAAAGGTGGAAATTTGAACTGAGCATGTGATGCAGAATATGTGCAATATCTTAGGACTACATTTCCTAGAAACCCTTGCTACCCCCTCTTTCATCCAAGTGGGCGGGGAAAGAGAAGCACCAGAGAGCCAAACACACACGCTGGTGGAATGATTTCTCTTAGAGAGAGAGTCTTAATACAATTTCTCTACACATCTTCAAAAAATTGGAAAAACTGATTACCAACTTCATACGGAGAGGGAAGGAGCCCAGAATTAGCAGGGAACTCCCCAAGAAGGGCAGAGTGGGAGAGCTTGCTTTCCCTGACTTTAGCACCTACTTACTTTACAGCCACAGTGGTCAAAAGAGCATGGTATTGGTATAATGACAGAAACTCAGTCCAATGGAAAAGAACTGAAAACCCAGAAATAAAATCATCGATTTTTTGGACAAGGGCCCAAAATATATCAAATGGAAAGCGGATGCCTTCTTCGACAAGTGGTGCTAGAAGAAATGGATATCTACCTGCAGAAAAATGAAGCAAGACCCTTGCCCCACCACAAGACACGACATTCCTCACTGACCCATAGTGCTACAGGAGACAACACTGGAGACACAGTGCGGGAATTGTGCCTGATCTGACCCCACCACACCGAGGAGAAACACTAGGGGTGCAATAGAAACAGCAAGGGGAGCAGAGTAATGAAGTCCCCGGAAATATCAAAAATAGACTGTGGGGCCAGGGCGTGGCACCCCATCAGACTGGACTGGAAAACACTAGTAAAGGTCAACAAACAGACATTGAACTATTTATAGGCTTTTTTTGGGTGGTTGTTTGTTGTTGTTTTGTTTTGCTCTGTCATGTTTTTGTGCATCTTATGGTTTCTGAATGTATATCTAATAAGACAGGAGGGACAAACAATCTAGAGGAGAAAACAATGGGACCAACAGTTTGCAAGGAAGTGGGTGTTAACAAACCCAGGAACAAGGGAGCAAGTGATCTAAAATCAATGGCAAGGAGGGTGTAGGAGGTCTGGTAGGGCTTGATCAAGGGCAATGTAACTGAGAGGAATTACTGAAACCCAAGTGAAGGCTGAACATGATGGTGGGACAAGAGGAAAGTAAAAAGAAATAGAGGAAAGAACTAGGAGGCAAAGAGCAACTATAGAGGTTTAAATGCAGGCATGTATTTCATCTCCGGATTATTTATCCTGCCTATCTGAGTTAGTTAATTGTGCCAGCCTGGCCGATAATCACATGTGGGGCTAATTGAAAGGCGAAGGGATAAATGGGTGGTGAGCCTCGCCTTTCTAGTTA